ATATATATATATGTATACATATATGTGTATATATATGTATATATATTTAATGGTGCGGGGTGAATGGTTGAGCGCAGACCTTTTCTTCCTGGTCCGTACGCTCCTTCTGAGACCGCTCCTTGTCAGCTTTCATCTTGGTCTTCATGTCCCGCATCTGCTCCGTGGGAGGGGGGGGTCAGTGTGTGCGTCCACTCGAGACCCTTCCACTCGAGGCCCGTCCAATTCGAGACCCGGTCCTGTGTGTCAATGTGGTGTAGTGTCACGACCCAGTTTTGTACTGGAATTGGTCACGTTACGCTCGGAACCATGCATCTTACGCTCCTTGTCTAGACGCACCTGCCTGTCGATTGCTACGTGGGTTTCGCGTGTGGAGTGTATGGTGTCAGAGTGTATGGTGTCGTGGGTTTAGGCCGTGGCGTTCATGGTGTCTGGGTGTATGGTGCCGTGGGTTTAGGGTGTGGGTTTTATGGTGTCGAACCTCCTTCTGGTCGTGTCGGGTGTCGGGTGCCAGGTTTCGGGTTTCGGGTTTCGGGTGTCAGGTTTCGGGTGTCGGGTGTCGGGTTTGGGGTGTAGCCGACCTCTTTCTGGTCGTTGAAACGGTCATCTTCCATCTTGGCGACGCGCGCTCGCTCCTCGCTCACCCGCACCTGGTTTGGGGATTATGGTTTAGGGTGTCAGGTTCATAGTTTATGGTTTATGGTTTGTGGTTTTATGGTGTATGGTTTATGGTTTGTGGTTTTATGGTGTATGGTGTATGGTGCATGGTGTATGGTGCATGGTGTATGGTTTATGGTTTAGGGTGTAGGGTGTAGGGTGTAGGGTTTAGGGTTTAGCATTTAAGGTTTATGGTTCAGAGATTATGGCTTATAGTGTCGGGTTCTGAGTTTCGAGTGTCGGATTCAGGGGTGGAAGGTTGTGGTTCAGGGGTGGGAGGTTGTTGGGTTCCAGGAGAAAGAGACCTCGAATCTCGACCGCTCGTTCGAAAGCTGCTCCTCGAGAGCCTTCTTCTCGCCCGTCACCGTCGCGAGCCGTCCCTCGCTCTGGGTTTCGGGGTTGGGGTTTGGGGGTTGGGGTTTGGGGTTTGGGGTTTAGGGTTTGGGGTTTGGGGTTTAGGGGTTAGGGTGTTTAGCGGTTCGGGTTTAGGGGTTAGGGTTTAGGGGTTCGGGTGTAGGGTTTAGGGTTTAGGGGTTAGGGTTTAGGGTTTAAGGTTTAGGGGTTAGGGTTTAGGGGTTAGGGTTGAGGGTTGAGGGTCTAGACCTCCCGCAGCGCTTTTCGCGTCTTTTCCAGATCCTTCTTGTGCTCTTTTGCCATAACCTGTGGGGGGGGGGGGGGGGGTGAGGATCCCAGGTCGCATGCGTGGAGCATGATCGTGTTTGAGTCAAATGCTCTCGCCGCGATTAGATCTGCCGCGCCACGTTTCAGGGGTGGTGTTAATGCCAAAAGATTCCGCCAGCGGACCCCCTAGGTGGTCCGCTGGCGAGGGACTTACAGGCTGTAAAATGATTTTAAAAGCAATTTCAGGACTTTTAAAACCCTAAATTGTTTTCCATTATAAATTTTGTACGGAGTCGCGTCCAAATAAAGGGTTCGCTGGCGAAAGATTTTTGAATGATTGTGAGAATGGATCGGGGTGAGCGAAACATCAAAAAAACCCATACATCAAAAGAAATTAACCCCCCCACAAACTGAACCACATCACAGTCACTGCATCAAACCACACTTACTAAACCAAATCACACGAACCAAACCAAACCTACCCCAAAAAACCAAATCACCCCCAAAAAATCAAATCACAGGAAATAAATCGAATCACACGCCCGCATGAACCTAGGTCTCTTAGAGCACATTCTCGATCTTCTAGACCTCCTCAACCCAACTAACTAAATCAAATCACACGAACTAAATCAAACCACACAAAATAAACCAAATCACGCACACCAAACCAAACCGCTCAAAAAAAAACCAAACCACTCGAACCAAATCAAATCACACAAATCAAATCGAATCACACGAAAACGCGCACGGACCTGGGCCTCCTTGAGCGCGATCTCGATCTTTGTGATCTCCTCGCGGTGTTTGCGCGTCTGGATTTCGATCACGTCCAGCTTCCGCTTGTACTCGTCAATCACCTGGGTTGGGGTTTATTATGGTTGAATAAACGATTTATTATGATTTATAATTTAACATGATTTACTAAGATTTATAACGATTTATTATTATGTATTATGGTGTATGGATTTATTATGATGTATTATGGTTGATTCATTATGATGTATTATGGTGTATGGTGTGTGGTTTGTGGTTTGATGGTTTTCCCCGGAGCTATACGTCCTGCTGTCCTGCAGCCCGAGCGTCACCCTCTTGTCCGCGATCAGCGTTTCGGATTTCGGGTTCCGGGTTTCGGATTTCGGCTGTAGGAATGAGGGTGTGGGGGTGGCCAGGCAATGTAGGCTGTAGGAATTAGCGTGCAGGGTGTAGGGTGTTGGGGGTGCCAGGCTCTGTTCGAGGAGTGTCCACTCACCTCGTGGACCGGGATCCGGGTTTTGGGTTTCGGGTCTAGAGTTTAGTGTTGAGGGTTTGAGGTGGGGGGGGTACCAGGCTCTGTTCGAGGAGCGTGACCACCTTGTCCCCGA